AGTTTTTTTTTTTTTTTTTTTAACTACAGTGCTCCCTGGTGGCCTTGGTGGACCCAGCTGAGCAGGAGGCTGCCTGAGCTGCACTGGGGCCAGGGAGCCTGCCGACTGCAGGGCGCCAATGGGGAGCAGCGGTGTGCCTAGAAAAGTCCTCTGGCTGCTGTGAGCATGGAAGGGGCAGGAACAGCTTTCATCTCCACTTTTTAAAAAATTAAGCCTACAGTACCCAGTATTCCCAAGTGGGCAATATCCCATCCAAGTACTAAGTAGGCCCAACCCTGCTTAGCTTCCAATTTGAAGGGAAGGAAACCAGTTGGGAAGAACACCTGGGTGCGGTCTGGCGTGGCCAAATTCCTGAGCCCAATGCTGCAGAAAGGGAGCATGGCCGTCGTCATACTTGGTAACAGGCACAAGGATGCTCTGCTGGGTGGTGCCCCCACAGCTGCACCCTGGGGACACTTGCTGACCCCAACCCCTTCAGGTTTGCTCCCCACACTTCTACTGGATGGGAACTGTGCCGATACAGGCAGGCCCAGGAGGCACCACTGGCTGCTTGGGACTCTGGCACTGACTCCCTCAACTGAGCTCCTAGAGTGACAACCACAGCTGAGGATCTCAGGGCCCTGTCAACCCTTGTGGGGTGAGAAGGGGAGACTGGTCAGCCCCACTCAGCCCCATACCCTTGTGTGGCCTGACAAGGTTGACGCACCAACAGAGAACTAGGGCCAGGCAGGAGCCCGGGGGCCACAGCAACAGGAGGCAGTAGCTGTCCCCTCCTGCCCCTTTCTTCTGCCTGAGAGTGGAGGGCTATGACTGGTTGGGACAGCCAAGCAGCCAGAGACTCCCCAACCCCCTGAACACCCATGGGAGCAAGCTAGTCCGCGGGGAGAGGCCTGCCTCAGTCTCCAACTCTCAGGATCCTGCTCAACTCCCTGGTTTCTCAGGGGTGGAGAACCAAGACCAGGGGGCAACACAGGACACCAGACAGTCCGCACACGGGAAATTAATGTTTCATTTAAAACCAGCCCCTCACCATGCCTCACTGGGACACCAGCCTATCCTGGTGGCTGGGCAGTTCCCTCCCACTGCCCTGTAGCAGGGCCACAACCTGGAAGTTGGTGAGGCCTTGGTAGACAGCCACCTCCCATGGCAGCAGCTGGCCTGGGAGCTATCACTGTGGGCTCTGAGTGCTGCTCCCAGCCCCTGCCCAGCCTCAGGTTGGTTTGGTGCCCCCACCCCCTCCTGGGCAAGACCACCAGTGGGCCAGTTCTCCTGGGCTTGGCCTTGGGGACCCCAATAACGTGCTGAAGGACCAGGGACTGGTGTGTCGATGGGGCTGCTTCAGGTTCACATCACGGCCTCCATGTGCAGAATCTTCAGGGCCTCGGAGATCTGGGCACTGGTGTCCACTTGGCCATACATACCCACCAAGAAGGCCCGGTGCAGCAACACGGCTGCATGCTCTGTGGGAGAGATGCACTGGCATGATGCACTGGCCTGATACATCCTGGCCACAGTGAACAGACCTAGGAACTCCTGAGAACTGTGACTGTCAGGCAGCTCTTGGAAGATGCACCTCTGGGCTTTCTGAGAGCCAGTGCATGGTCGAGGACTTTCAGAAGCACCAGGCACCCTGGGCAGGGGCATGACTCACCTTGGCAGAGGAGGGTGTACTCAGGTAGGTTCCTAAGGGCCGTCTGCACCACCTCAAAGTCCCGGCTGCCCAGGCAGTACATGAATGTGGGCAGGAAGTCGGCTGCAATGCTGAAAGAGCCATGTGCTTGAGTGGGCACCTCCTCCTGAGCATGTCCAGGACTGCCAAGGAGTCGCAGACTCTGCCCCAGAGCCCCAGGACAGGGCAAGCTGACCTGCCTGGAAGCTTCATGTGGCTACCACGTAAGGCCAACCAGGGACCTCGGCAGCGGCTTTACTATGGAGTGTCAGAAGGCTCAGCCAGGAAGCATGGCCTCAGCCCAGTGGGGCATCTGGACACAGGCTGGGGCATGCTGGGTGGTACTGGGCTTACCTGGGATTGTTCTGGATGGAGCGCAGGGCCAGGCTGAAGGCCAGGTTGCGGCAGGACTCCTCGGCTGAGCTCATTAGCCGCTGTAGGTTGGTCTGGCCAGAGATGGGAGTGGGGTATCACCAGGGTGATCCCCTGTCAAGGGCTCAAACCTTCACCCTTCACCCCTCAGCCATGTAATGGTCAATGGCAATGGCATGGGACTGTTCCAGTGTGGGGCAGGACCCCAGCCCCCTGAAGTCCCACCTGGGTTTCTCCATCGGAGTGGCTCTTCCCAGTCCTCCCTCAGCCCCATCCCACTCACCGAGAAGAAGCCTAGGATCTCAGGTCTCCGCCGGGACATCTCGTCTATGTCACTGAGAACCTCCAGCAGATCTAAGACAAGACCAGGGGGCCAGGCCAGATCACAAAGAGGGGCATGTGAGAGCCAGGCCACAGCTGCGGAGGCCAAGGGAGGACTTCTGTCCCCTGCATGCCTAGCAACCCAGAGGTAGGAGGTAGCTGTGCATCTCAGAGCAAAAAGCACTGCTGGATTCCCAATCCCACTAGGCCAGCGGCACCTACACTGTGAGCACTGGTCACCCGGGAAGCTTTCCGAGGTGCACACCCCCCCAGATATGAAGGAGGACCCAGAGATCTGCATTTGTACCAAGCTCTGCAGATGCCTGTCCCTGGTCGCCCCACCCCACCCTCCCCTCCAGGGAGCCACCAAGCCCCTTGGCTGCCCCAATCCTTGGTTCTCCTTTGCAAGATGTCCCACCTGCTAGGCCTTTCTTCTTGAAGTATTTCTGATACCTCAGTGGGCTCCCTGACATTTCCTCTAATGCCCTCTCTGGGCACCACCCCCATGAGGAAACAGCCCACCTCTTCCCGTGGCCTGGTGGAGGCCACACTCTGAAGTCAGCCTCCGTTGGGACCCAGGATGCCGTAGGGGCCAAACGGGTGCTGACCTCAAGTGGGATGGACCAGGCTCCCTGACTCACCTTCCACAGTCTGGCCCCGGGAAAGCCTCTTCATGTAAGGGGCCATCTCGGCCGTGGTCAGAGGAGTGAAGAGGGAGACACTGACCAGGGGCAGGGAGCCGGCCGAGCTCTCATCTAGAAGAGCAAGTCAGTGTTACGGGAGGACTGAAGACTGAACAGCCTGGCCTCAGGAGCCACCCATTCATGCAGGACCTACGAGGAGGGATATCCAGTGGCAGGAGATGGGCAGGAAATGGCCAACACCACAGTATCAGTCTGTGATACTGTGAGCACACTGGCCACTGCCCATGGCTGAGCATGGTGCATGGTAAACAGTAAGTGCTTAATAAATGTGATGGAACAAGCCTGCTGGGAGCTGCCTTTGGAGATGTGGCACTTTTCCGAGTCTCTCCCTGCTGCTTCCTCAGGATGCTCACATCACCCAGCCCTGGCTGGAGAGTGCTCTTCTCTTCTCTCCCCTGCAGTGTCACCCCCAGGACAGAGCTGCTCCCTCTGCGGCCGAGGGCCTGGCGCCTAATGCACGCTCCATTAGGGTGTCTGTGTGCCTCACATTCCCATGTGTTGCATGTTCCCCTAGACTGCCGAAGGGCCATGCTCAAAACAACTTGGCAAAACCGGGGATGCAGGACGACCATAAACAGCGCAGCAACTGCCCTGGCCTCACGCCCTCATCCACTGCCTGCCTGGTGACCATGTCTGCACAGGACAGAGCCCTGCCTGCGAGTGCTGTGTCACCACATGAGACAAGGGACGTGAGCAGAAAACCAAGAACAAGCTCTACCCAGTAGGGCAAGGACAGGCTTCCGGGGGAGGTGACATCTGACACAAGCACTGGCAGGATTGGGCGACGTTCCCTAGGGCTGGGGGGGGCTGCTGCTCAGTCACACTGGCCATGGCACAGTCAGCACTTCACGTGTGTGACGGACCAGGAGGCTGTCGACGTCCCAGGGCTCACACAGCCCTTTTTAAAATACCTCGGAACATTGAGGGCTGGCCTGCTGTTGTGGAAGACTCCACTGTCCTTCCCCTGTGGACCCCAGCCTTCCCCACTCACCCTCGCCTTCCTCATCCAGACCTCGGTCAGCTCTGCCATCCCTGCTGGGAAGGCTGAGCCCTGCAAGGAGGGATTTCAGCATCACCAGGTCACTGTTGTCGAAGGACAGGTCGCTGGGGAGAGAGAACACAGTGTTCACCTTGGAGGAGATGCTGATAGATAGGAGGCTGGATGGAGGGTCAAACCAGGGCGACACGGACGGGAGTGGACATGAGGTGTGGGTGAGGCCAGGGTGCTCAGGAGAAGGAAGAGGCGGGGACAGGCTGTGTGTGCATGGACATGGCAGAGTGGGTCCAGCACAGAGCAGAACACCTGCTGCCATCACTCCCTTCCAAGGCAGAGGAACTTCTGCCTGAGCTCTCCCTTGCTGTCCTGGCCTGAGCACCACAGATAGTAGCTGTTCTCAGCCATCACCTCCCCCACTGCAGGAGCTCACGGACCAGACCAGTGACAGGACCTTCTTGGGAACACCCTCCCAGTCCTGTCTAGATCGTCATGGGAGGGCAGAGGCTTGCCCAGGAGCCCGTGCAGCCTGGGCCAGGGGCACTCACTGGAGTGGGTCAGCATGTTTCTGCAGGAAGGAGACCGCCGCTGGGGCGTTGCAGGTGATGTACTTGTGGATAAACTGCACGAACTTGCTGATGAAGGGAGCCAGGTGGCGTGAGGACTTCCTGTAATTCTGCAAAGGAAAAGCCAACCATCGTGGGACTGCTCAGAGCCTGTGGTGCCGAGACAGGCACCCTGCGTTCCCATCCTGCCACTGCCTCCCCTGCAGCTCAGCACACGGACCCCCTGACACCATTAGCACAACCACCCTCTGCCGACCACTGCATGGTATGTGAAGGGTCCAGGTAATCAGATAGGGTCTTTGTCCTTCATGAGCTTACAATGCAGACATGTAGGTGCCCAACTAGGGCACATGACAAGATGAATTACAGCCTCGGTACAGCACAAATGACATGCAGAGAGAACAGCACTGAGAGTCTGGGAGGTCCGAACTGGGCTTCTCAAGAATGTAGGGTCCTCCAGACCCATGAGAAGCTGGGGAGGGGAGGGGCGGCAGAAGGGAGGTGAGCCAAGGCGAGAAATTTCAGAATGTTTAGGTGTGTGTGTGGGGGGTCCTCCACAGGAGGTGGCAGCTGTGTGAAGGAAGGGTGCAGGGAGTGGTATGCACTGCAGACATCTGGAGAAATTTCAGAATGTTTAGGTGTGTGTGGGGGGGGGTTCCCCACAGGAGGTGGCAGCTGTGTGAAGGAAGGGTGCAGGGAGTGGTATGCACTGCAGACATCTCCCTCCCAGGTCCCTGCCCTGTGCTGGAGCCAGGGATGCTTTCCTCCTCACAGAGGGGCCTCCCCACACCAAGGCGAGAGGGACCCACCAGGAGCAGGCGGACGAAGGAGAGCAGGCAGTCCCACAGTGCCCCCTGGTGCTCATTTTGGAACACCTGTGGCTGCAGCAGCTCCAGGACCCCCAGCACGTGGACAAAGAACGTCAGGTGATTCTGCTGCCGAAACTCCTGGAAGTTGAGGTGGGTTCGGCCGTGTAGGAGGGCAGCGATCATGGGCAGATGTCTGGGGACAGGCAGAAGAACACTCAACAGCCCACCCCCTACCCAGGCCCCTCTATTTGGAAGTCCAGTGTTCCCATCCAAGAGCCCTGACCAGACATCTAACTTCCCCTGAACCCATACCCCCAGAAGAAGTCCTCAACACTGGTAAGGAGACAGTAACCACAGCCAGGCTGCTCCGCTCACCTAGTGCACAAACATCCCCCGGAGGGAGCTGCTAATAAGCCTGAGTCTGCATCTCTAACAAGCTCCAGGGATACTGGCCAGGGACCAGCTTTGAACTGCCGGGAACTGGGCCACCTGTGCCATACCACCTGGCTCTAGGTCGAGGGGCTGGCAACTCATCTTCTGATCTACCCTTCTCTGGGGCCTACCTGGCTCCTCCTGCCTGAGTCTCAGTCAAGGCCAGGAACTGCCCTGCAATGGATACCACTGCCTCAGCCGGCTCTGGATTTCCATACATCAGCTTTTAGCTGCAGAAACTTTTCTTGACCTTACATCTGGTGTGGGGCCAGGACTTGGAGATCGGGAGCGGGGAAGAGCAAGGCCGGGTACAGATCCCAGGTCCTCCCCACCAGGCTGTGACCTGGTCAGGCCAGGCAGTACCTGAGCAGCAGGATGGGGTGGGCCACAGCCAGCTTCCGACAGGCCATGTTGGCATCTGCCACTCGGTTCTCGGATGACCGGGAGTCACTGGTGTCCGCAAGGAGGGTGATGAAGCGGTGAATGAGACCGTCCATCTAGAGGAAAGGGAGGATGGGTCTGAGGCTGGGGGTGGCGTGGGGGCAACCACAGCCTTCTCACCTCACCTGCCACCCCACACCAAGTGGCTGCCAGCTCTGATGAGGCCCACGTGTGGCTCTCTGGGACTGAGCGCCTGTCCCCTGAGGACCTGGCATCGCCATGCTGTAACCTGAGGAACCTGCCTCCTCTTGTTTTCCTGAGTGCTTCTGGAGACCAAGTAGGCCACAGCCAGAGTCTCCAGACACCCAGTATTTGATGCTAACCTCTCTACAAAAATAAGACGAAAGCTGTCAATACTAAATGCAAATGATATATGCTGAACGAAGAAAAAG